TGAAGTTTTAAGAGGTCAACCTTATACTTTAGCTAGTGATATATATAGTTTTTCTATAATTATGTGGGAATTTACATTTGGAATTTATTCTTTTAATAATGAAGCTTATGATTTTCAACTTAGTTTAGATATTTGTAAAGGTAAACGTCCTGAAGTTAATGAAAATGCTCCACAATGTTATATAAATTTAATGAAAAAATGTTGGGATATAGATCCATTAAAACGACCAACTTCATCAGAAATCAAAAAGATTATTAAAAATTGGTATAAAAATATCAAAAAATTAAATTTTGATGAATCATTAAAAAATGATATTATTGATTTTTATAAAGCAGATAATGTATTAGAACAACAACAAGATGATATTAATATTAATAATAAATTTACTATTAAATCAAATTCACAAGTATATTATACAAGTCGTTTACTTGATTTTATTGAAAGAATAAATGAAGTTTTAGATTATGATATAAAATTTAAACAACTAACTGATAATATTGGTAATTATTTTAAATTTCTAAATTTATTAATATTTGTAAATTTGATTATTTAATCTAAATATAAAATTTTAATTAAATAGAAACTTTAAATATTACAAATAATAAATAATAAAGTAAGTAGTTCGAATTATGAATAAACTTTTATATATTTATTTAATTTATTAATTTATTCTTATAATAGATGAAGCTTTAATATATTTATAATCCATAAATTTAAATTTATTATATTATCTTTTTCTTATAATTTTATCTTATTTATTATAAAATTTACTTAGTAATATAATATATAGAGTAATTTTATATAAAAGCATGTTGTAATTACTAAATAAATTTATATTATTAAACTATTATGCTATTATTGCTATTTTCAAAATAATGTGATCAGGTGATTTATCATAAATTATAATAAAAAATTATCATCTTTCACATCTGTTTTAATAAGATTAATGATAAATATTTAACAGTTTCTTCATCATGCATTCGAGATAATATATTAGCATTTATGTTATACTTTTCAGCTCTATATTCTATGTAAAATGATAATATTGTAACTTTATGATCCATCTAACATGTCTTTCTTATGGTATTTTTGAAGTTTTTAATCATTTTAAGGCAGCATGATCAGTTATAATAGTAAATGATCAACTTAAATAATGATAAAAGTATTTAATTGATCAGACAATTACTAAATATTCTAATTCAGTAATTGAATAGTTTTGTTAGTTAATCTACTAGCATATGCAATCACATATTCTTTTCTATTCTTCTTTTGAAATAACACAGTACTTAGTCCTTTCTTTGAAGTATCAGTATATAAAGTAAAAGCTACATCAAAATCTAGATATTGTAAAATTGGTATCTTAATAAACCTTTTCTTTAATTGATTAAAGGTATGTTATTATTTTTTTTCTATTCAAAAGGCTGGTCTTACTTTAATAATTAAATCAAAAGTTTGGCATATCATATAAAATCTTTAATAAATTTTTGATAATATTCAAATAGTCCTAAAGTAGTATGTAGTTGAGTTAAACTCTTTAGTTTTGAAAATTCTTTATTTTTGGATCTTTTCTGAATTAGGTTGAATTTTTTCTTATTTTACAATATATCTTAAGAATGCTAAAAAAGGTTGATAAAAGTAGTATTTTTTTAATTTTATTACAAGATGAGTGAATAAATAATCTTTAAACAAATGAACTAGTAGATTCATTTTATTTTTAATTTTTGTGGGATTTATTTTATTTTCAGGAAACATTAATTAACATTTTCTTTTCTTTTTATTTAAGAAATAGAATAAATGTATAAAGCTGAATGATTATAAACTTGAATGAATTATGATAAGTTTATTCATTTTTTGTTTTTATTTTAAAGAATGTAATTAATATTTTCTTCTCTTTATTTAATAACCTAAACAAACAGATAAGCTAAATGCTTAAGATTTTGAATAAATAAACTGAAAGTTAGTTCATTTTGCTTTTTTTATAAATTGTATTTCAGGAAACATAATTAATATTCTCTTTTTTATTTTGTAGAAATGACTTCTTAGAGATAGTAAGTTTCTTTAAGAGAGTGGATAATGCTTAATGGAATTAGAAAACTTTACTAATAGTATTCTCTTTATTCTTTTTAGATTTTTAGATTGTACTTAACGTTTTTAAAGTAAGCTTCATGTGATATTAATAATGTTAAGAAATAATATTAATGTCTTTTCTTATTGTTTAAAGTTATTTGTTAGAATTAATAACAAATATGATTTTTTTGTAATAGAACTTTCTTTTTTCTTTTTTTAAGTCTGTCAGAATCTACATTTAGGTTTTTTAAATAGATTTAAATAAAATTAAATAGTTAGATTAGATAAATTTAAATAGGTTTAGATAGATTTAAATTGTAATTTTATATTTATAAATAAATATGATGATCTATAATAAATAATTGATAAATTATTTTCAATTATTTGATCATAGTATAATTAAAATTGATTAATTAAGAATTTTAGAGCCAATCAAAATTTTCTGATCTGGATAGAGCAAGTCAGATTAAAGAGTTAATCTGACCTGATATCAGGTTAAAAATTTATATACCTGACCCTTATTTTTTGGATCAACCCGTCAGGTCACCTGATCTGTTAGACCAAATTTAGAGCTTTATCTGATTTAATCCTTCAGATTAGGTAATTTGATTTATCTGTTCCAATCTAATTTGTTTAAAGCTCTAATTAAATTATAGATTTTAATATAGTTGATTGATTTAATTGATAAATATTTTGATAGTCATCAATATTAGATATAAATATATTTTCAATATATTATAAACTACATTATTTACAATATATTAGTAATCATTTGAAATATGAGTTGTTTTTTGATTAATTAATTTTCAAAATACTGACAATTCTATGATGAATTTGCTTCAGAAATTTCTAAATATGATCCAATATCTACTTTAATTCTATTATTTTATTTATTATTAATACCAACTAAAAAATAACATAACTTTTTTGATTGTTACTATTTGTTTTATCAGATTTTGCATAAGAATTAGTTCCTTCATATAATTCATCAAAAAAACTAATTAAAAATTCTATAGCAACATAAATTGGCATTTTTTAATTGTCTTTGATTTATATAAAAAATATTAGACATTTTTTTAATTTTATCAATTAAACTAAAGTTTAAATTTTCTTGATAATTTAATTTAAATTGTTTCAATTCTTCTCCAGTATATAAATTATCTTTTATTAAGATATTAGTAGTATATTTATATAAATCATTCATTAAAACCAATACAGTAAGATTATTTAAATAATTTAAAAGTTATTTAAAATTACGCGCGATAATAAAAATGGGTTTTATATTTTACGCACCTGCGCAAAATGCAGGGGTGCGAAAGATACATGTAAAATTTTAAAATACAATATTTTTACGCATGGTATAAAATTTTTAAAAATTTTATTGTTAAAATTTAAGCAATGCATTTTGATTTTTTGTACGCACCCCTATATTAAAATTATATTACAATAAACTTTCATTACCAAATTTGTCTAATAAGCAAATAGCAAATATCATTCATTTCTCAAGTGTTGATAAAATTGAAAATTAGTTTTTTGCCTTCCCGGCGACATATTAATTAAACATTCTAAACATTAATCATCATCCTTTCTTTTTTTCGATTGATATTCATTGGACATGTAGTACGATTATGTCCACTTTCATTGCATAAACCACATTTGCGAGTTTTGTTAACATTATTAGAAGTCCTTTGAATCTTGCAGTATCTGGTGGTCTTCCTTTTGGACGCTCACTTTCACTATCATCTAGAATATTTCAATAAAATCGTTAGAAAAATTTTCATTATCTGAATATCACTGAAAGTGATTCTAAATCGCTCATTTTAAGGATATTCAACAATAATTATAAAAAAAAATAGTGAAAGAGAGAATAAAATGAAGAGAGATAGAAAGAAAAAAAGCGTGTACACAATTGATTAAACAATTGATTTATTTAAAAGTCTAATAAATGATCGTGGAATTCGCATCAAAAAAACTACGCATGGGATGTATCACACCCATGTAAAATTCATATCTAATCATTTACTATACGTGCATAAAAAAAAAAAAATATGCATGGGTGCATTTTGTGCAGGGTGCGCAAAATACAAATTTCCAATAAAAATTTCAACCAATCATAAAAAACTCTTATGCACAATTACTTTTTTATCAATTTTTTTTGTTCACATGTCAATTAATAAAACGCGAAGTCGTAAATAATATAACCAAAGTTTGTAAAAATGCGATACGAACGCAGAGTCCCGTTGAATAATTATTAATTCTTGAAAACAAAGAAAAGAAAAACAGAAAATTTATTGTTTGAAACAATATTACAGTGTTTATGGATAAGCTACTTTAGAATTAAAATACGCGCTAGAATGCCGGTTCGAATGTTATACGAATTGAGACAAATATTAATTTTTTTGGAATGGAATTAATTTTATGACTCACACCCAAGAATAAATTATTTTTCATCACTTACTGGATTATTTCATTTTAAAGCTTCAAATTGAAGTTTTTCATTCGCAAAATATCATAAAATTTTTACATTGAGAAGCAAAGATAATTGTGAACGTATCTTATATATTCACCTCGGAAAATGATAAACGAATCATAGGGATATACTGATGACCCAAAGCACAACCCGACCTCATCTTCAAATCTTCATCACAGACTAGTGGATTGATCATAGATAATCAATTAAACTCAAAAGGAATTGAATGTAAGGAATTAGAATATATATGAACGAGGATTTGTGTGTGGTGTATAAAGCTTAAAATTAGGTATATGATAAATCGTTGGGAGATTTTATAAAGGAATCTATCATTAATGGCAGACGACATTATGAAAAATCTCCTTTCAAAAAAATTATCATTTGACATAAGAAGAAAAGAAATGTTTTATAATTAAACCAAATTCTCTTCACATTTTCCTATTCGATCGATAGCAAATGTTAGTCAATATTGTGAATTTCAATAATAACAATTACTTAAATGAAAATGACGTAAATTTACCTTAGATGAGATATAAAATCCATAGCAATAATATAATTATTATAGAGAGCAATACATATATAATGATTATCAATTGTTTTTTTCGTTGTCGCATCAACTGTATTTCTTGTTGCAATTGTTGTAATTGTTGTCGTGCTTGCTGTATTCGCTGTTGCAACTGTTGGTTAGGTGTAGGTTGGTATCTGTCTTTATTGCTCATTTTGATGGTTTGGTAACTTAACGAACTTTAAAGAAAAATTTTAGATTTTTTTTAAAAAAAAAAAAAAATTTGCATAAAATCGAAAAAAAATTACTGATTGGTTTCCTAATTATGCATCAACCCCGTGGGAAACTTTACCACAATGGTCCTTTGCCGATGTAGCACAAAAAAAACCCACACTAGTATAAAAATTATGATCAGCCCGAATCATTATGTGCATTGTTCGTTTGAACAATTCATTGTAATTGTAGACGAAGGAATTAAATATACCTTGAAAACCTCTTAATCGCATACTTCTGACTTAAGGTCATTAGGATAGGTTATATGACTTTGGAAGAAGGTTATGGATTTTTACTTTAAGTTCGTTCAATATTATAACGCTATTGTATTCATTTGCTGATGTGCGTAATGAAAATTCTATCCGATTTTTGGCCCTTTAAAAGATATCCGCCGTAGTTTTTCTTCCAAGTGACAGCTGAGGTAGCTTGATTTTATTTGAGGCGCAGAATTTTTTAATCACGAAAATCACCAAATAACATAAGGAAAATATAATTTGCTTTGCGATTTTTTTATTGAAGCATCTCTGAATGTAGGGACTGCTAGTACGTTAACAAATTTGTTGATAAATTTGTTATGTCCAAGATCCTCATGTGTATAATGTAGACAAGCATTATGATCACGGAGCACGAATTTTGACCACGCAAACGATATATAAGGATGGGAATTAAATTATTATTGAGAGTGTGATAGGATATTGTTGAGTCAGAAATCTCTAATACAATCGTTTCAATTAAATTTGATAAAAATATATCACGAATGATAACAAAAAATGTATTTTTTTTTTTAAAAAAAATAGTCGTACTTTCTGCGCCATTAAAAAATGATTCGATTTATATTATTCGATTAATTCGATTTGGTATAATCGATTTCTCTACTCGACAAGCGAACTGTAATTGACCCTAATTTTGAAGTGCTGTACTATAAATTCAAAAACCAATAATAAAATGCAAAATTCGGGAATTGAGTTTCTGAAATTTATTTATTTATTTATTTTTAAATATTAAATGAACATAATAAAGTAGCCAATTAAAATTGGTAAATTTTTAACTCTTGACGAACTGAATTTTGTCCTTATTGTTACAAAAAAAAAAATCTCAAATTAGAAATCAAAGCCATAAAAGGAACATGCATGGATGTAAACTCACGTGATTTTATACAAATGAAGTTCTAACTAACCTTTATAATAAAATCTTTATTTTATATAAACACAGTTTTATAAAATTTTGAATACTAAAAATTTCTTTAAAAAGGATTTTGAAAATAAAAACGAAAGTCTTAAAATCAAAAGGTTATTTATTTAAAAAACTACAAATACGAGAGATTTAAAAAGATTCTGTTTAAAGCCAATAGAAAAAAAGGTTAGAAAAAAATTTGGATAATGTACTTCTTAAGACGATAATATACTATTATCGTGATCAGGTGACATTTCATATGATCTAAAATTATTTTTGGTAAATCGAAAACTGGATTGCATTTCGTTTTATTTGTTCTAAAAATTTGAATTGTTATGACGAGATTGTTAAGGAATTAGTCTAGTTATTTGAGAACTTTCACAGTCAAGATAAGTTAATGAGTCTGGTAATGTTGGTAAGCTAGTTAATTGAGTTCCGTAGCAATAAAGTACTTTTAAGGAGTTAGGTAAAGGTGGTAAGCTTGTAATTTGAGTTTCATAGCAATAAAGTTCTTTTAAAGAGTTAGGTAAGTTTGGTAAGATGATTAGTTGAGTTCTTTCGCAGGAAAGTTTCGTTAAGGAGTCAGGTAATGTTGGTAAGCTTGTTATTTGAGTTTCATAGCAATAAAGTTCCATTAAGGAGTTAGGTAATGTCGGTAAGCTGGTTATATGAGATTTAGAACACGAGAGTTTTGTTAAGGAGATAGGTAAAGGTGGTAAACTTGTTATTTGAGTTCTATAGCAATAAAGTTCCATTAAAGAGTCGGGTAAAGTTGGTAAGCCGGTTATTTGAGTTTTAGAGCACGAGAGTTTTGTTAAGAAGGTAGGTAATGTTGGTAAGCTTGTTATTTGAGTTCCATAGCAATAAAGTTCCTTTAAGGAGTCAGGTAATGTTGGTAAGCTGGTTATTGGAGTATTATCACAGTATAGTGTCGTTAGGGAATTGGGTAAATTTGGTAAGCTTGTTATTGAAGTTTTACGGCACCAGAGTTTCGTTAAGGAGTTAGGTAAAATTGGTAAGATTGTTATTTGTGTATCATAGCAAAGTAGTTTCATTAAGGAGTCAGGTAATGTTGGTAAGCTAGTTATTTGAGTTTCAGAGCAATTGAGTTCCTTTAAAGAGTTAGGTAAATTTGGTAAGATAGTTATTTGAGTATTGAAACAGTGGAGTTCAGTTAGGAAGTTTGGTAAAGTAGGTAGACTAGATATGGGAGTATTGTTGCACCGGAGTGTTTCTAAGGTGTTAGGCAAAGTTGGTAAGCTAGTTATTTTAGAATTTTCAAAACATAGTTTTGTTAATTTTCGATATCTTTGCAATCCGCCTAAGGTGTTTAATATGTCATCCTTATTATAGTCGGTAATAGTTAAACTATCAATTGTAATATCATAGATAATTAATTCAAGATTTCTGATCCTCTTTTCTAATTCATTATTATTTCCTTGCTTTTCTTTGAATACTTCCTCTCGTTCTCTAATATTTTCTTTTAAATTGTTAATTACTACTTGCTTGGCTATGGCTTCTTCTTTAACCTTTTCTTCTAATTTATTAATAATTTCTTGCTTGGATTTGTTTTCTTCTTCTCGCTCTATGACCTTTGCTTCTAAATATTCGAATTTTGTACGTAACCCTTCGTTGCTTTGCTCTAACTCCTTAATTCTCGTTTCCAATTCTTTTAAGGACTTTTCAAAATTGTTCTTTAAAACCATTTTTTTTTTTTTGATTGAAATTTTTTCTAATAGTTTAATTTGTTCGGATGGTTATTTTATTGTTTTTCTTGCATCAAAAAATTTACCAATAGAAAATTCTCTTTTGCTCAGCCTCGTTTTTCAATTTTTCCAATAGTAATATTTCCTCTTAAAAAGAGAGAAAGAAAGATAGTGAGATGATCGTAGAATATTAAATAATCGAGTCTTAAAAAGGATCTAAACGTTTCTTGTCTTACCAAATAAAGTTAAATGCTTTCTGAAATTGGTTAATTAAGTTACACTTAATTTTAGATTTAAATTCCACAAAACTTCAAAAGAACGAAAATCATGTGAATTAACGAAAATTACAACAAAGTCATTATGTAAATGACGAAAATCCTGTTTCCAATATTATGAATTAATCAATTTTTTATTAAACATTTGGATAAAATGATATCATGAAGTACCGTCATAAGAAAACTACATATTGTGTAAGAAAGAGTACGTACAGTATATTGTATAATTATAATTGAATAAATTGAATTAATTGAAACAATGTGCAAGGAACTTCTTAAAATATCACTTAGGGATACCATAACTCGATCACTTTCACCACCTCACTGTCCAAAACTTTTTGGAAGCAAATCAACTCGAAAGAAAAACTTGAAGAGCGCAAAATTCGAAAAAAAAAAAAGAATTCATTCAGTTGCTGTGCCCGGAAATGAAAAAAAAAAAAATAACAATAATTTAATTAGAAAATCTTTACCTAGATAAAATAAAATAAATAAAAAACTTATGCGAGTCGAGGCCGATTAAAAATAAATATTTGTCAAAAAAAAAAAAAAAAAAAAAAGACTTCCCGCAGCAAACCACAAACCGAACCTAATAAAAAAAATTATAATAATTAATTAAAAGAACAAAAATCTACCTATCACATACAGTAAATATCAAACCATCTATCGCTTGCATACTTGCAAAAGTGTTCAACGTGAAAGAGGAACCTAAAGGAAAGAAAATGCGCTGATTCTAAAAAAAAAAAAAGGTATATTTGATCGCTATGCTCCGAAGCGACCGTACACGAAACTGAATCACCAATAAAATAATCCGATCTGAAGAGGAAAAGAAAGATCGCAAGATTTTTTGGCGCGAAGTACCAAATCTCTTGAAAATATGTAGTTTGCGCATTAGAAACCAGTTTTATATTTTTTCTTTTAAAAATCGATGTCGACCTTCTGACAAATGACCAGCAGGTAAAATAAGAAAGTCAATCGACATTTCCAGCGAGCAGCGGGTACTTCTCATGAACATAAAGAAATCCCAGATGATTGGATGCCTTACTACTAAAAAAAAAAAAATTCCTGAATCGCGCAGATTCTAATACAAGTGGCATGAAATATTTTAATATTGGCATAAAAGTGAGTTCGAATCAAAAAATTTTTAAATTGCCTTATTTACTTTACTAATTTTGCCTACGATAGATTCTATAGAAAAAGTCCTCATTTTGAAATATTACACCGCCTTCTTGGTGAGAGTAATATAATTAGCTTTGGTTTTATGAAATAAAATTTTCAGTGTCATATCTGAACAACTTGAGGAATGTTTTTCAATGATTCTTTTTAATAAGTGCCCAAAACTGACATCAATTCATCAATTGAAGGAAATGCGTTTACCGTCAAATGATTTCACATAATAACATAATGTAGTTGACAAAATACGAGAATAGGACGCGTTTTATATCAATATTGAAATACAAAAAAAAAATTGTTTTATTAATCTTCCGAATATATTTATTTGCATAATCCCTGTTCCGAGCTTTGAAATAAAAATTTTTAATTTTTAGAAAAGCTCACTAAAAATCGATAAAATTAAATATTTTAACATTTATATTATGAACTTCTTATATGATATAAAACAATCGTCTTTTAGGTTTGCACTATGACTAAAATTTTCTTATAAGTTTTAGCCAGATTTAAAAGTTAAAACTTCAAATTTGGCTCAATTCTACACGACACGTCAACGCTATATTAGAATAGTGATTAGAGTCTGGACTCGTATTCGTGTGACTCGAGTGAATTCGAGTTAA